CCGATGCCAGCTGTGGTGAAGAATGCCGGTCTCTACATCGAGAATTACACAGGAGTTTACAAAAGAACCTTGAAATTTGGTGGTGTGAACATGCTATTTAGATGGCACTCGCTAGTCCATCTGGTAACATCAAAAAACTTTTCCATCTTATCCGATTCACTGAAGGTTTCCTATCCGGTGTAAGCGAAACAATCTGTGAAGACGATGGCTCAGTGATCACTAATCTTCAGCGATGGTTGAGCGATGGGTTGAACATTTTAGCTCGCAGTTCTGTCGTTTTCCAGCTCCAGCTACTGGCGTACGCCCTGGTGCTGAGTGGTCTGTCCCTACAGATCCTTCATTTTACCAGGAACTCTGGCATAAACCGTCTGTTGCAGCGCTATAAAGCACCCGGCGCTGATGGCTTACCTCCCGCCCTATTTAAAGATGGTGGCTATTCGCTTGTTCGTGAACTCACCGCTTTGTTCACCGAACTCAGGCTACAAGATGAGGTTCCATCATTTTGGGTTGAGTCGATAGTCGTCCCCATATTCATAGAGAGCCTGCGCACAATGTGCTGCAACTATAGGGGTATCAGCTTGCTTCCCTACGTTTACAAACTTCTGGTGTCCACCATACTTCGAACGCTATCCCTAACTCGTTACCGCCGGAAGTACAGGTTAGGTTCCGCCATAGTCGCGGCTGCGTCGACCAGGTTTTCACACTCCGCCACATCCTCGTGCTCTGCCATGTGTACTAAGGGTCATTGATCGTTGTGTTCCTAGATATCCTTTCTATCTTCGATTCTTTTTGTCAGGACTACATTGTGGTACAGTCTGTTGAGGAATCATATTTCCGGGAATTTCGTTCCCGTTCGACAAGGATGCCCTATTTCCCCATTCCTCTTCAATTTTGCCCTTGAGGATGTTGTCACAAATGCTTCGAAAGATTTGTTGAGTGCTGACGTTGAGCTCCTTCCATGTAGTTGAGTAGTTGACTTGAACTACTTTGATGATATAATCTTGCTTTGTGACAGTCCACAGGCCGTTCAACTTGCACTTAACCGCACGGCGATTGAAGCGTCGAAGTGTGGTATGCACATTTCCCTATCCAAGTGCAAGGCTGTTTTTCGAGACTTTCAAGTGCTGGTACTTGCGCTCACCCTTGGTGATGATTCACTGGAGGTCGCAGATAGTGTTGTCTATCTGGAAGATTGCATCACTGGCAGTGGGGCTGTTAGAGAAGAGATTTCGATGCGAATCTCACGAGCTCCTTGTTTTCTCTAGGCAGATGAACTTGTGGCGCCGCCATGACCCGTCTATCCATCAAAAAGGCATCAGCAGTATGCCAGTACGCAGTACCGACACTTCACTGCCGCGCAGTCACCAACGGTCGCACTTGGGCTAAGGATACTGCGAGTGTCGCCCGGTCCCGATGCCATCTCAAACCGATGAACGTCAGAGTACATGGCAGGCTTGTGATCCTTAAGACCGTGGGCCGGTTACAGCAAAGACATTAAACGCTTGGCCGTGTTCGACCACGGATGCTTGCGGAGCATTACTCACGTCTGGTGGGAACACCGGGTGAGAAGTGCTGAGGTCCGCCAGTTTGTTTTTAGCATGAATCCTTCTGGTGCCCCACTAGAGTATTTGTTGAATCTTAATCGCTTACACTGGCTAGGCCATGTCGTCTGTATGCCCGTTGACCAGCTTCCTTGGCGTGCATTATACGCCGTGGCTGCACCAAGTTTGGTGAAACCGCGAGGTGACCAACCCATGACGTCACATAGTGGCATGGAGAAATCGACTGAGAGACTTGGTAAGGCTGTTGCGTACCGTTTCCGTGGATAAGGGCCTCGGGATGCTCCACGTCGATGGTTAGAGGCCGTATCTGACATGGCGCAGTCATGCAGTCAATGGCATTCTTGCATGCGGTTGTAAATTTTCGTTCCATTCTGATTAGTTTAACACACTTCCTTCTTGCTTCCGATTTCTTCACATTCTGTCTACCTTTAGGCCCACTATCTTACCGTTGTTGTTTACTGCTATTCTTGCAATGTGAGTCGTGCCAACTGGATCCACCGCACTTCGGTGCTCTGATCATAGTTTACCAACTGAACTGAGCTGAACACAATCTGTGGCACAGATACCGTGCCATCGGAATCATGGCTGGATATGACAACAGAATTAGAAAAAAGCAAAATATGTAACTTTTTTGTCCAGTTCGCCATTCACCGTTTTTGCGTTTTTTTAAATTTTTTATTAGGGTTAGAAAAGGAATCACCGCAACACGCAGAGATGCATGTCCGTCATTGATGTCGGTCTTGAATCATCACTTCCATAGATAAAAAAATCCATCAAAGGGTGGGTTTGTTATGCGACCGTCCGCGCCGTAATAATAAATAAAATAATGTGTCAGCTGTACGCCGTAACGACGCTTCGCTGCCGCGCGACCACCGCCAGTCTCGTGTGGACAGAGTATACTGCGAGTAGGCTCACCTCTTCGCGGATTCGAACCGGCGACCTTATGGTTGCAAGCCAGGTGCGCAGACTACTCGGCCGCGCTGTACGGTTGCGAGACCTGGCCTGTTCCAACTGATGACCTGCGCCGTCTGTCCGTCCTTGTGCGCCGTTGCTTGCGGTCCATTGCCCCTGTGTGATGGCTGCACCACATAACCAATGTAGAAGTTATCTAGCGTGTCTTTGTTGAAATCAACTGTTCGCTTGAGAGCTAGTCTCGATGCGTCAGCTGTGCTGGCTTGAACGTGTGTTGCGCATGCCCGCTCATCGTCTTCCGCGTCGGACGTTGTTCATAATTTCTGCGCAGGGCTGGGGAGGTGGTGCGGTGGACGGCCTACGAGTTGGAGAATTGGCATGAAAAAGCTGACGAATCAGTTGGCCTCATTCGATTGTTCTCGACTCCATGGTTAGGATTTCAGAGATACAGAGTATCGCTGTTTAGAGACCCTTAAGTGATATCTCAAGACATACATCAATAGCGGACATGTATCTCTGCACGTTGCACTGGTTCCTTTTCTTTTCCCCGATAAAAAATTCATGAAAACTCAAAAACTGTGAATAGGAAACTGGACAAAGAAAGTTGCCTATTTTTTCTTGTTCTAATTCTGCTGTCCTGTCCAGCCATGGTTGCGATGGCACGGTATCTGTGCCACAGATTGTATTCACTTCTCTGCATATGGTTGGCAGCACTAAGTTCCCAATTTGCCTTTCACTCCGGCCTCCATGGGACAGCCACAGGATGCTCTGAATGCTTGCATAGAACACGTAGGTTTACGCTAGGTCCCATTCTCCTCATCTAACCGGTTGTTTTCAAATCTTTCTGAAATGATGGGTTCATAATCAATTCCAGTTATGTTTCCAGATGGTGAATCCGTAGTTATCACCATAGTTATGCCATTAAATCGCGAAGTGCTAATGCCGAAACGGAACTCCATCCCCTCGCTTGTTATTTGACTTTTGGCATTGTGGCACTGTAGACGCTATAGGAGTTATATTGGCGGTGACGAGTGTGCGGCTGTTGAAGTTCATTCATTGCTGGAAGGAGTTTTGCTTGATGGTCAAAGTTGTGTTTACAAGCCCACTGGGAGAGCAGTTCTATTAGACAAAATTGCGTGGCTCTTTCGATTTGGAAGTGTTTGGTTCGTGTTTGACCATCGATGCCCACTGAGCTTTGTTCCTACTGGATGACGTCAGCGTCCCTGGAATGATGGGGTGTGCGGATATGCTCTAGATCTAATCCGATGGACCAACGGGCAAAGATGAATACTTTGCCTACACTGCAATGTTTCGTTTCCCGAATGTAGGATGGCCCATGGCTCGACTGAGACGATAACCTGTCAGTGGGAAGCGAATTCCTGCACTTCGGTGCCCGAATCATAGTTGTTTGATTAAAGTGAACTACCGTACTGACATGGTTTGCAACGGGCACCGGTAGCATCTCCACGTCACCTAACTGGATTACCTACTTGGAGCATGTACGCTGCTAAGACACTTGTGGGGGAACGTTTGGTCATGTTGCAGGGCATTGAAGAGTGTAAAGAACTTGTTTCACTTGTGCCCTCTACGCGAGGACACAAAGTTCTCATGTGTCTGCACTTTGATCCTGGTTGTCCACTGTTCAGTTTCTACATGGAGCCTTCGCATCGCTCTCCTCATTACTCAGCATTAGTTTTTTTTCTCTTAGTTTGTGGTTTTGTGACAGCAACCCTCCATTCCACAGAACCATACGCTACATTACTAAGTGTACAGACCAACGTGCCAGGTGGATCGTTGGGTATTACTGCAGGAAATAATTCGAACCAGAGCTCATATAATTCATGGCTCACTTTCACTTTACTGCTTATCGTCTGCAATCGTTTGTCACCCTAGGCTCTGCAAATGAGCTCACTTTCTTGCTTTACCATCTCTATTTCATCCGCTACTCGTTTCCTTCCTGGTCTATGAAGTTGGAACATCTAAGTAACTGCTTTCTAATGTTCCACCGTCTGGCGCATTCGCTTACAATGTTAACGCTCTGCGAAACCCGATTCATTGTATATCGACCACCCGTAACGCAATTTTGATTTTTCTGTTAAAGTGGTGTTGCTCTAAATTTTTCTACGTAATCACTTTGTGGCTTGTTTAGGCGACACACCAGTCGTTGTGCTATGAGGCATAACCTGCGACGTACTTGATATTTCTGAATCTGTATCCCCCGTCCAGCCTCTATTGACATTATTGAACTTTCAGTCCATGGCTCATTGAATAGTCCTTACGGAAAAAGTTTTACCTCCCATTCTTCTCTCGATTCACCCAATGGCATTACTTCCTCGTTTTTAAGCTATGGTTTTCTGAACCATTAATTTGTTCTCTAATCTTTACATCTGTGGTTGTAATTCTTTGTAGCTTTCCTCCCCTCTACTCGTACAAATGATCGTCTTTTTACATCTGCAGCATATTCCATGATATCGAAGTCGTTTTCTTGCCTTACACTGACCACTTTTTTCGTTTCATTTCCTTAAGGAATACAAAAGTTCGTGGTGAGCTTGCTATCCTGTTCCCGAAGTCACCGGGACGTGCGTTACTGTTTCTTACAATGGATGAGGTGCTCAAATGTGTTCTAGCCAGCGAATTGTCGGGTGAAATCAAACAAAAGATTCTCCGAAACTGTTTGGTGTACTTGAAAAATGAGGCTGATATGAAGGACGCTTTGGATTTGGGTGTTGTATGTCTACGCTATCTCCATTCACTTGCAGACCCTAAGCAGACGTATCGGTACGAATTGGAGTGCATCTGTCGAGAAATCATCTCTCAGTTATCGGACTCTGACGTCGATTGTATGATAGACAAACTGAAGCTGGCTTTTGCGACGGATGTCAGTTCTTTCAACTTGCACTCCGTAGATTACGCCATCGACTATGCACGCACCATACACGAGGCTGGAAAATTGATATGCTTAGTTAGGCAATTAGAGACCCATAGCGTGGACATAGTTGATGGAATTACTTCGGTGTTACGGATTTTCAACAGACTACCTTTAGTTTCTCCTTTCGTCGAACTAAATGAAATTAAGCAAGAACTTTCTATCATTTGGTCCAGCATTTATCTCATCGATGGATTGAGGAGAGAGCAATCCGATGCGCTTACAACGGGACTGTTACTTTTTCTCGCGCACTTGGGCTGCCATGATGGCGCTAAGGGCACGTTCATATTTGATACGGTTAGCGCTCTTTCCTACCGGGCGTCCGAAGCTCTTTTACATATCATGTCAATCAAAGCGTACAATGAGGACGGTGAAGTTTCCGCTTGTGATGAAGGGAAATTGGCGGCCTTTTTGAAAATCTTTGTGGACAAGTTTTTGATTATCCCGGTTTCAGCAGAAACTTGCTACTTGCCGTTGGCTTCGTTCTTATTTTGTCTGGATTCATCCACATCTTCTTCGGACGAAAATGTTGCTATGTTATCTTCTTTTGTTGAATCCGTGGTCGATAACCATGTTCATAGCGCTGATGAGTGTGTTGCTATTATAAAACGACTCATTGTGTGGTTGATGTGGCCGGGTACCGATTTACATCAATCTCCACTGGACAAATGGATCATCAGTTTTATCTGCCACTACAGCTATCGACTTCATTCAGCGAATGGCCTTAGATCCAGCCCACCAGCGCCTTGGCTTCATTTTATTGTGGATCAACTGCGTTTTGTGCTTAGCATACTTTGCGAACAATGGCTCCCTTCAACCGCAGTGTTGAACACGCTGAGCTTCCTGCTATTAGCTGGTAATCCAACGATAAGTGATCCCAGATACATTTTAATTAAAAATGAACTCTTACCAACCTTGTGCAGTATTTTGGAAAAGTTTAAAGGACGTATTCCGATCGAGGAGGAAGAATTCGTACTCCGTCGGCTATCGAGTGTTATGCAACTTCTAGCAGCTTCTCTACGCAAGGTGGACAATAACTCGGTTCTTCTCGTATCAGATTCATTTGGAAATGCTATCCGCTCATTTTTTAAGCAAACCAATACCCTAGTCAACAGTCCGGTATCGGAGAAAGGGGCCTCAGAGCACCTAGCAGTCTACAGTTGGCCCACTTTGCTTCGTTGGGGTTCAAAGGCAGGTACCAACCTGCGTCGTTGTTGGGCCAAGTGGGACAAGATTTCCTATGGTATCAGATCGGATCAGTTGCTTACGCGCCGCATCGCTGCAACGGTGAGAACACGTTCTTATTTATAACTCTGTTTATCTGCCCGCGAGTTCTTTTTATCAAATTTCATCTTGTAATTGTTAAGTCTTCGGAATTATTTTTTGTTTTGTGTTTAGTGTGACTAGGCAGTGTGCATTTATTTGCTTTCGTTGAAAAATCACACTGTATCAGTTAGAGGAACAAATCTATTGTTGTAAAAAGTGCGGTCATTTCTCTCCTTTCAGACTTATGATGCTTCTGCCCGACATCTTTTCTATCTCTGTGCTCTGGTGTGATTACGTTGGCCGATTTTATTTACTTATTTAACGGATGTGGTGGGTTTAGTACGACGTTTTATATTCAGCTGATCTGTTTTTGTACGACATTGTAGTCAGACGAGCACAGAGCCAACGATTATCGGGGACTAGTGAACATTGGCAACACGTGCTACGCAAACGCGGCTCTCCAACTCTTATATCACTGTCCCGACTTCCGATTGGCGCTCCTCGGGAGTGACATACCAAGTCCACCTGTATCGTCCGCCGCCTGTCCTTTGTTAGAACGAACTGCAGCTCACTCAGCGTCGCCTACCTGCGATTTAGATGCTCCTGCTGCTTCCACTTGTGTCTATCGCGGCTCCTATGCTCCGCGTAAGGAAGTTGGCCTACTGCATTCACAGCTCTTCTTTCTTTTCCGGGCACTGAACACATCTCAGGTGAGTCTCTCATGCTCATATACGTATTACACATCTTAACATTCGTCGTAAGCCTTCAACTGTGAGTTACCATAGTGCTCACATGAGAAGCTACCTGTGTCTTCGCCATACATATTACTGAGTAAACGAAGTCGTCTTCTAAAAGGTTGGCACAAATTTGCACTATAGCCTTCAGGTCCTCATCATTACCAGTAGTAGCAAATTAGTACTCTTGAAACAGGTTCTCGAGGTTACGGTAGAAAGATTTCAGAATCGAGAACGGATTTTCTTGGCTCACTCTTCAATGGTGGGTACTTATACGATCAACCGAGTCGAAACTCAGGGATAATTACCACGGTGCATCGTCTGTATGCGTGTCACCACTACAACTCTTTGACGAAAAATAAATATATGACCAATGTAGTCTCTACCAGGGTGAACCTCAGCAGGGCTCATTGATTTGAATTTCATGAGGATCAGCGGGTCCTCGCAGAATGGTGCTTGTGAGAAGTTTAGAAGCAATAGAGATAAACCTGATGTATGTATAGTTTTCACACAATCCTTTGGCCCTTCTTGTAGATAGAGGATGGTTGACGACGGCCAGTATCCCTATTGATGCTTAATAGACCAGTCACCAATAAGTCGTTTCCATCTTTTGTCAACGAGCCAAGATGTTTGTTTGGTCCACCTGCGTTGTTTTGCTTCAACAAAGCAAATTCATTTCAAGTTTTCTGCTCAGAGGTCAGTGTGAAAGTAACGTCTAACATGGATCCAATTGCTTCGGCATGCATGTTATCATAAGCGATCACCACATCCGTATTCCCCACCATACGAATGAGACGGGAGCTTCCGATAGAATTCGTCTTTGGACGCGGCTTATCATCAGACATCGCGTCTCGTGCCTTACTGGTACCTGCACTGACCTCTGAGCTTAGCGGATCGACCTCTTTTTAGCGGTCTTACGCGGCTAGCTGAAATCAGTGCCATATAATTTGAGGTTGCGGGACACGTTGGAGAGGGCAATACTGCACACCAGTCTATCCAGAAGCCTTTGTAAAGAGATTGGATCTGACCCAAGCAGTTCGTCAGTTTGTATTCTGGTAGCACTTTCAGTTCAGCGGTTGAAGGCGATTATTTAAAATCGCATAGGTGCATTGAAAAAGTGACTTGGTACAATTCTGTCCCACCTCATTTGACGTGGGAACTCAGGAAACCCGTTCCCATAGACCCTCGATCCTGGGAGTGGTAGTAAAAAGCTGGAGCTTTTCTAAGGCATGTTTCAAGAATTGTTACCACCGCAAGCTTGTGCGACCAAGGGATTCACAGACGGTCCTCAGGTTGTCACGGAAGGATCTCATGAAATTTGCTGTCCTCACACTTGACCACAGGTCACGTCATGGTCTATGATACACTGTCAGACACGTCTATAGCGGCAAATGGCTTGTGTTGCGGTTCTCGCATTTCCCCGTTTTTGTTCGTCATCTATACGGGCTTTGATGAAACTGAGTACCAGACCTAGGTAGGTACGGGCTAGCTTGCATACTGCCATTATATATATTTCACAATCTGTATACAGATGTTGTACCATCGGGACCATGGCGAAATAGGAAAACAGGGTTAGAGTAAAAGAAGAAAGAAAGCAAACCATTTTTGTCCATATTTTCCACTCACAGTTTTTGTGTTTTTTGATTTTTTTATTGGAGGAGGAAAGGGGAATCACCGCAACAAGCAGAGATAAACGCCCGCCACTGAGTTCAGTTTCGAGCCATGACTTCCAAGGTTTCGAACCAACTGCATTCAGCATTCTTGGGACCCATCCAGGGAATCGGGAGGAACCAACCGTGGTCAGCTATTTTGTCAGCTTTTTCATCTTGCTTCTCCAAGTTGTAGGCTGTCCACCACACCGCCTCTTCCAGCCCTGTCCATCGACCGCGAACAAGGCACGACGCGGAAGACGCTGAATGGGCATACGCAGTACGTGTCCGAGCCATCGTAGTTGGCGCAGCGAGACAAGCGCCTCGAGGTAGTGGCTATCTCCACCCAAGACACGCTGTCTGAATTCAGCGTTGGTTACCTAGTTCAACCACCACATACGGGTGATGGACCGCAAGCAACGGTTCCCGAAGACAGACAGTCGACGTAGGTCATCGGTACGAGCAGGTCAAGCCTCACAACCGTACAACAATACAGCGTGGACAGTGGCACTACAAACCGTCTTTTGATGGAGAGACTGATTTCATGGCGGCGTCATAAATGCCTCAACCTGGAGAAGGCGAGACAAGCTCTTGAGATACGCATTGAAATCTCGTTTCCAACAGCCCCACCAGCAGTTATGCAGCTACCCAGTACTCAAAGCTGTGTCACTTCTAACGTTTCCCCGTCGATGGTGAGTGCAGGTAGGGGCGTATACCAGTCTTGAAAAACGCTTTGCACTTGGATGCTGAAAAGTGCATGCCATACTTCGACGCTTCAATCGCCAGGCGGTTAAGTGTAAGTGGGACTGCCTGCGGACCGTCACCCAACAAGACGATGTCATTAGCATAATCCAAAACAACCTCGCGGCTACCTGGAAGGAGCTCAACGCCAGCATTTAACAACTCTAGAGCATATTTGAGGACATCCTCAATGGCAAAATTGAAGAGGAATGGAGAGATAGGGCATCCTTTTTGAACCCCACTGGTGACAACAAAGGAAGGCGAAAGCCTGCCATAAGCCCTAACTCTACGCCAGGTCAGACTATACAGAGCACGCAGAATGGAAGCGAACTTCCCGGGAATACCGTTCCTCAACAGACAGGGCCACAATGCAGCCCTGTCGGTCTCATCGAAGGCAGCACAGATATCCAGCAACACAACAATCGTTGTCTTTTGATACACATTGTTCAGACCGAGAATCTGGCGGAGTGTGAAAATCTGATCGTTACAGCCGCGACTACGTCGGAACCCAGCCTGTTCTTCTCGCGGTAGTGATTCACGCGTTGGGGATAGCAATGAGACTGGACCTTACCATGGTGCGATGGTTTGGGTGCCTCAGTGATCCATTGAGCTACTCATACCAGATTGGTCAATGGTTAGAGGCCAGACAAACTCAGTCTCCTGGTCATCCAGGGTGGGGGTTGAAATGAGAGTGGCACCTTATTCCTTAAAACGGACTCCTTGTAGCCCTACGCCAAACCCGTTGCCTTGCGGTAAGGTTATTGAACCAAAGGCTTTGCTTGAGAACCCTAATCGTTCTCCTTTCTAGGCCTGGGCAACCTGACAGTATCATACCCACACAATACAATGAATCTCTCTTCAAACAAATTCCTGATGCTCTGACCACCGCAGAGGATAATCAACGGTGCCCTATTTGCTGCATCGAACAGAGTGGATATGGGTTTGGATGCTACTGCTCAAATCTTCCCGTCTTCTTATTCCCCCTCTTACGCTTTTTCCCTCTTATGGTCCCGTTCCAACTTCACTTTCCTCTCCTCCAGTTTTCAACCCCCCCGATTCTTGGTCCTCCCCAAATATGCTTTGCTAGGCGTTTATCTTCTAGTTTCAACTCACTTGTGAACGCGGAGCGTCACTCCTGTCCTGTCGACAAGCACATGTCCAACCAAGCGGTCCACTCCAGTTCATCGGTTTCCATTTAGAGCCCTCGATCCTCCTTCAACTTAGCATGTCTCAATGTACGCACATTGCTACAGATCGGTCAACAGGCAGCACTTGCCCGAACATTAGAGACCCCCTCGATCGATATCTGCTGCTTATCGGAGACCCGTCTTCAGGACTCGAGCTCTGTGCTCACTCTGCGATCCCCTTCAGGTGACGCAAGCAGTATTTTCTCATTGCGCCTATCGGGTGACGATGCAGCTTCGTGCCTCGGTCAAACCAGTGTTGACATTACCCTGAGTCTTCGGGCTGATGCTACTCTGGTTGATTGGATTCCAATCAGTAGTCGGATGTGTGTGGTCCGATTGGCTGGCTCGTTCAAAACTTCGAAGTCGCGCGGGACTATTAGATGTCTATTCATCATCGCTGCCTACACGCCCACAAACTGTAGCGATGCTTCGGTAAAAAACGACTTCTACTGCCAATTGAACCATCTCCTTCGCCACAGAAGAAGCACAGATACTGTTATGCTGGCTGGGGATCTGAACGCACAAGTTGGAAAGTTGTCCACTGATGGAATGCATCTGGGCGGTCAGCACGGTATAGGCTCCCGTAATGATAACGGTGAGCGGTTACTTCATTTGTGTGAAGATGTCCGCTTATTTCTTGCGAGCACTAACTTCCGACCCAGCACTCCCTGGAGGGTGACTTGGCACCCACCATCCTTGGACGCAGATCGATCACATTGCAATCAGTTACCGCAGGAGAGGCTGCATCCAGAAGTGTCGCTCGATTTGGAGCACATGTGTGGACACCGACCATGCACTTGTATGTGCTGACCTGCAGATGCGTTTTGGCGGACGCCCACGACGACGCTGTGAGCGCATTGACTCCAGACAACTGACAAAGCCAACTGTTCTGAATACCTATCAAAGTACGCTGACATGCGAGTTGAGTAAGCGCTCACTGGAGACAATTGAAGGTCACTGGTCACACGTTCACCGGACCTTACGAGCAGCAGGCAAATCCTCATGTGGTATGTCTAACAGCCAACATGAATATCGGGTCTCATCGCGGTCTCTGGAACTTATAGATGCTCGCCGGCATATCCTGGCTGGAAACGAACACAATGAAACTCGCAAAGAGCTCCTGGCGAAACTCCGTGCTAGCCTGAAGAGAGACCGCGAAGCCTAGTGGTCTCATCGTGCCTCGGAGATGGAAACTTCCGCTACCGTTGGTAATCATTGTAAGCTATTCCATATGATACGGGAAACAGGTTGCAGGAGACCTGGTGTTAACGAGACCATACGCGATGAGAGTGGACAGCCTATCCACAATTTGTCAAAACGTTTAGAGTGTTTGGCTAAACATTTTGAAAAGCAATTTAATCGGCCGGAATTGTTCGATTCCTCACCGGCCAGTGATCGC